AGGAAATGGCGACCCACTCCAGTATTCGTGCCTGGAGAACCCCATGGACAGAGGAGATTGGCAGACTACAGTCCACAGGGTCGCAAACAGCTGGACGTGACTGAAGCTACTTAGCTCACACATATGTTGTGAAATGATTACCACAATCAAGTTAACTAACACACCCATCACCTCACATAGCTATCTTTTTTCTTTTTGCTAAGAATGCTGTTCTTATTTCTTTGTTCCATAGACTCCTTGTAACAAGTGTCATCTCAGATCACCTTGCTAAAAAATCAAGGTACAGTAAAGAAACATTAATCTATACAAATATGAATAGTATACTTACCAGAAAAATCTTGAACTCTGATTCATCACAAATACATATGCATAGATTAAGCTATGAAAGAATTTTCATACCATTTTGACAGTGGAGTTCTTCCATGTGACATAAATAGCATGTTACTTTTTAATGCAAAATCAGCCCCCCAAAATTATTCTATAACTGGGAAAATAATTTTAAAGAATGAAGACCAAATCTTTGGGCAAATAATAAGAACAAAATAAATAAATTTAAAAAGATAAAAGTATAAATGTTTAAAATTATATATATATTCATATACATATACTTATATAGCCAATATTAATATTATAAAAGATTAGTAAAAGCCCTATAGACAGCTGATCAAAAAAAGTGCCCTACTGAATTTACAGGAATAATACACAAAAGAAGTTTATTTCTCATTTACCAAGCAATGTAATGTGAATATTCTTAGTTGATAAGAAGCACTCCTCACTCAAGCTTGATGTGATAGTGCCCGGCAAAAGAGGACAGACTCTCATTGCAGATCTGCCCAGAGGTGACCATGAAGTTCATAGGTAAAAGCAAACTATTCCATTCATCAGTAGACTTTGTTGTGTACCCTGTAAGACAGGAAGGTATAATACAATATAGTACAGAGTTTTAGATCATGATCATTAGTTTTGCCAGTTGGTCAGGTGGGCTTCCCAGGTGGTACAGTGGTAAAGAATATGCCTGCCAATGCAGGAAACACAGGTTCTATCCCTAGGTGGGAAAGGTTTCCCTGGAGTAGGAAACAGCAACCCACTCCAGTATTCATGCCTGGAAAAATCTCATGGACAGAGGAGCATGGCAGGCTATAGCACAGAGTCGAAAATGACTGAGCATGCATGCACACATCTGTAAGAGGTAAGGTTGGAAGAACAGTGCCAAGAAGGACTGGGGAAAATGTGAATGGATCTCTGAGAGACAGCATAAAATTTACAGATCTTTGTGTATCATTTTAATGCCCACTGGAGAGCATCCACCAATGAGAAATCACTTTACATCCAAATGAACAGGATGAATGGCCCTACAGATAATCTTCCTTTTTCTTGACCACTGTTGTGCTTATATGTAATAGACTCAGGATAATAATGGCCTTGGTGGCAGGGATGGGAGCAATGTTTGAGCCCACAATATGGACTTTGCCTCAGTAAAGCATCTAAGTTTCCAACCAACCAGTATAAAAAATGGAGCCTTACTCTGGATAAAGCATTGTTTCTCTGGGGGCTGAGTGAATGGATAAACAGGCTAATAGGTTAAACAGTTGTTCTTGTTGTTTAGTCACTAAGTCATGTCCAAATCATTGCAACCCCATGGACTGCAGCACACCAGGCTCCTCTGTCCCTCACCATTTCCTGGAGTTTGCTCAAATTCATGTCCACTGAGTCAGTGATGTTATCTAACCATTTCATCCTCTACTACCCCTTTCTCCTTTTGCCTTCAGTCTTTCCCAGCATTAGAGTCTTTTCCAATGAGTTGGCTCTTTGCTTCATGTAGCCAAAGTATTGGCGCTTCAGCTTCAGTGACAGTTCTTATAATGAATATTCAGGGTTGACTTCCTTTTAGGATTGACTGGTATGATCTCCTTGTAGTCCAAGGGACTCTCAAGGTTAAACAGCCATTGGGTTAAATGCTGGCATCCAGATTCTGCTGTCCCAGGATGCTATCATTTGCATTGATACTGACAAGTGTGGTCCAATGGCAGCATCTCTGCTGTCAGCTCTGCCCTGTGGAGGGCCAGTCACTATGAAGCTTGTCAAAGCTCCTTGCCTCTTCACCACTCTGCTCCTCACTTCCTCATAGTAAATGAAGTTCCTCTGAATCGTCCCAGAGAACACAATCAGATGGCAGGTTCTTGGACCCAAACCTTCATAACAATTCAAACTCCCCCATCTTTATGAACATTCTGAACTATTTTGTAACTACCACATACAAGTTCCCTTATTTCCAATTGTATGTCATCCAGGTTAGCTTTCTCTATAACAGGAGAGCTAAATGTTGGCTCATGACTCACCATGAGCAAGATCATATCAATGAGATGGATTCTCTCCTGTGCAGCCTAATAGTTTGTATTACCCTCCTGGACTCCCATCTACCGCCCTCTACTGAAGACCTTTCACACGGTCTCCAGGTTAGTGCACATACATGTTGAATTTTTTTTTAAAAATGCACAACATGAGAGTTACGAGTCAAGTTTTATTTGGGGCAAAATGAGGACGGAAACCCAGGAGAAAGCGTTTCAGATAGCTCTGAGAACCTGCTCCTAGGAGGCGAGGGGAGGAGCTAGGATATACAGGATTTTTGCAACAAAAGACAGGTAGTCATCAGGTGGTACAGTGATAAAAGACATGGGTTCCATCCCTAGGTCTGGACGATCCCCTGGAGGAGGCCATGGCAATTCCAATATTTTTGCGTGGGAAGTTCCATGGACAGAGGAGCCTGGTGGGCTACAGTCTATGGGGTCACAAAGAGTTGGGCATGACTGATCACAGTCATCAGAAACATCAAACGATTACCATTAATTCGAGAAACCAGATATCCCAAGTTAAGGAAGTGAGTACTTTTCTATGTATGGGAAGATGCAGGAGTCTGGGCTCACTGAAATCATTCCTTTCCTGTGCACCTCAGTTATCCGGGGCCTTATCTTGTGTTTTCACAGCCTGAGTGCCCCGGGCTCCCCACAGAGCCCTTCAGAGCTCTCTACAGAGAATGGCTGCAGAGTGTGGCTACTGGGTGGAAGGTGTTCTTTTCCTTCCTGAGTTTCCTCAGGACTCAGCAGCTCACATTGCAGGGCTGCAATCACTGATGACTGTCACATCCTTGTCTACTGATATGATAGGAAATACTCCATTTCTCAGTGTTAACTCCATAACTCAGCGTTGGCAGCATTGCATGTACGCGCAAGTTAACGTCTCAGAAATCAAACCTTACTTATCAGTGATCTGGCTGAAATCAGGCCTCGACCTGCAACTTGAAATGCAGCCATCAGCAGGCTCGCCAAGGACGGCGGAAGGGGCGCTGTAGGCCAGGAGGTGGACAGATGACCTTGGGGGGGAAATCATACCCTATGCAATGGTAGAAGGCCCAAAAGGTTTTCATCTCATGCAACACTTGGTTCAGGACAATAAGGGCTTCAAGCTTATGTATTTACCAGCTAGTTTTTACTTTTTCCTTCCCCTATGACATCTAGATTTCCAAATGAACTTAAGTTAAAAAAAAAAAACCTTAATCTTTTAATCTAAAACTATCTTAGCTGTATAATTTAATTACTCTATGATAATTGCCCTTGTTACTATAGTATACAACAAAGAAAGGTAGACTTTTTCATCATCAGGCCAACTATAAACTATGTACTTATGGGTAAGAAATTTATATTCTTTTTCAATTGGGGGAATATTGTTTTACAATGTTGTGTTGGTTTCTGCCATACAGCAATACAAATCAGCCATAATTATACATATATCACTTCCCTATTAAGACTCCTTCCCCTCCCTTTACCTTACCCCTCTAGGTCATCACAGAGCACCATGCTGGGCTCCCCGTGTTATATAGCAGCTTCTCACCAGCTATCTATTTTACATATGGTAGCACATATATGTCAATGCTAATTTCTCCATTCATCTGACTTTATTCTTTCCCCAGAATTTAACTTCTTAAGGCCTTAGCTGTTTAAAAAAAAAAAAAAACACCTTATATGATCTTAAATAACTTAGATAACTGCTTTATTATAAACACACTTTCTAAATTAAATCCATGCATTTTTGTTAAATAGATCTTGAATTTTACAAATTGATAAATTAAGCTCTATAATATATTGAAGAAGTGAAGTGAAAGTTGCAGTCATGTCTCTTAGATACCCCATGGGCTATACAGTCCTTGGAATTCTTCAGGCCAGAATATGGACTCGGTAGCCATCCCCTTCTCCAGGGGATCTTCCCAACCCAGTGATCGAACCCAGGTCTTCCACATTGCAGGCAGATTCTTTACCAGCTGAGCCACCAGGGAAGCCCCTGGACTGGGTAGCCTATCCCTTCTTCAGTGGATCTTCCTGACCCAAGAATCAAACCAGGGTCTCCTGCATTGCAGGTGGATTCTTTACCAGCTGAGCTACCAGGTGAATATAACTATATATTTCATCTAAAAGACATATATAAAATAAAAGTAACTGAACCCTGATGCTGGGAGGGATTGGGGGCAGGAGGAGAAGGGGACAACAGAGGATGAGATGGCTGGATGTCATCACTGACTCGATGGACATGAGTTTGAGTAGACTCTGGAAGTTGGTGATGGACAGGGAGGCCTGGTGTGCTGCAGTTCATGGGGTCGCAAAGAGTCGGACACAACTGAGCGACTGAACTGAACTTAACTGAGCCCTAAAGAATGGTAGTTTAAGAAAATTACATAAGCAGGGTTTATTTGGCAAGGTAAACTGTACAGTAATCCACCATTAGATTATACTAATATTAGTCTGTGTATAGAGAAAAGGTTAAGTGTGAAGCAAAATGTATAAGATACAAGCAACCAAGAAGGCAAACCATAAACACAGTTGTGGTTCATGGTTAATTATTTCATATCTCTAAGAGAATGTTTTAGTTGCACACAAAAGGTAAATTTAATTACCATACAAATGTTTGCAACCCTCTGATATAATAAATCCCCCAGGATCACATGTTTACTAAACAGACTTCCTTCTCTTTCCAAATACATTATTGATCAGCTTGGCCATGGATTTAGATCCACTATATCTTCTCTTTTCTTTGAGTTTGAGGTTTGTCAGGACGTCCCTGATAAGTCTGATGAACATCATTTCCACCTCCAGAGATTGCTCTGCTGCAGAGAGTTCACAGAACTGGCAGCGGTTCTCCAGTGCCAGTCTGTGCCCTTCTATCCAGCCAACCTCTCGCACATGACAGAGATCTTGCTTGTTACCCACCAGAAGCACTGCTGACTCCACAGCTCTGAAACACAGATACACAGTTCTTTGGTAAGACTGTTTCAACTCTTTTTATATATTAAGTAGGTTTATATATAAAAGAATTATAGACCCCCCCCAAAAAAAAGGAAAAAAATATTGTGTGAGTTATTTGTGTCTGTGTGTATTTGTAGTCGTGTGTGTGTATTCTCACTTACTCATAAAAAGGATTTTAGATTAAATGTAGTAAATGACACAGACCCAACAGAACTCTTAAAGCATAAGATTTGAAGTGGCACAAATCTATTCCTGGAACTATGGCTCTGTTTACTAACAAAACATGAGTGTGACATCATTTTCCACTTTCAGTTCTCTTATATGTTAAAAAAAAAAAAAAAGGTAAAATAGTTCTCATCACCCAGAATGAAGATGTATATAAAAAACCTAGCCCAATGCCAGGCTATAATAAAATAATAATAATAATAAAAGCATCTTTTATTAAAGATGCTTACTAAGCATTATCTTTCATTTTCTTATCAATTGAAAGAGGACTAGCTACTGCTTCTTTACTAATTAAACAATTTAAATACAGTTTTCTTAAGGAAAAATATTATTCAGTACTCATCACTGTTTGTTCCCTGTTAATATTCATTATAACATACTCTAAAGAAAATTTTACCATCTTGTAACTTTGTACAACTTTTCTGATTTATTTAAGAAATATATTTCTTTGTTAAGGTAACATCTTTGGCAAATATCAATACAATTTCTGTGGTTACAGTACAACATTTCTAAAGCAGAGTTTCATTTGAAGAATACAGTATGGCTACTAGTCCTCAAATGGCAAGAAATAGTGCTAAGACATCTACTATAGGGAAAAAATGGGAAAATGAAAAGTCTTCAACACCATCTCAAGAGATACTGTATAGAAACCACCAAATTATGTTTTATTCACATGATGGTTTGAGTCATCAAGGAAAAAGCATTGCAAGTCTAACACTAGACTCTTGATGATACTAATAGTACCTTTTTATAGAGTTCATACACTAATAGTATCTTTTTATATAGGGCTTCCCTGGTAGCTCAGGTTGTAAAGAATTTGCCGGCCTTGTGGGAGATCCCGGTTTGATTCTTGAGTCAGGAAGATCCACTGGAGAAGGGATAGGCTACTCTACTCCACTCCAGTATTCTTGGGCTGGTGGCTCAGACAGTAAAGAATCTGCCTGCAATGCAGGAAACCTAAGTTCGATCCCTGGGTTGGGAAGATCCTCTGGAGAAGGGAATGACTACCCACTCTAGTATTCTGGCTTGGAGAATTCCATGGACAGAGGAGCTTGGCAGGCTACCAACCATGGGGTAGCAAAGAGTTGGACATGATGGAGCAACTTTCACACATATGTAAATAAATGAAATATTTTGAAGGATGAGTCAAAAATATCAGATATAATTTTATAAAACAATGCCATATTTTCTTTCTATCCATAGATAAGAGATTTGGAAATAGACTCTATTTAAAAATTGAAAACTGGAAATATCCAAGAATTATTTGATCAACACATTAAGAAGATTGCCTGAAAATGTCAAATATAGGGATTTTTTTAAATATACATTTTTTAATTCTTCTTGAGTGATTCTTTTGATATGGAAGAATAGCAAAGTAATTTTAATTACTTACCTTTACCAAAATTATCGTGCTTAAACATAAAGTATTTAACACTTAAAAACAATAGAGTTCCCTCAAAATCAGTAATATTATAGGAAATCAGAGCTCTGAGGTTTCTTACTAAAATCACATTCTTTTTCCTACCATGTTTCCATCAGTTCTATAATCAGAAAAAAAAGGTCTAGAAATTAAAAGGTTTACCCAAGGTCAATCAGATATAAACAAGAATTTACATCAAATGACTCCAAGGGAACACTCCTTATCAATTATTATCTGATTATCTCTTGATAATGGACATTTAAAAGAGATATTAAAGTCACAGACATCAATTATCAGGAATGATATTGTGCTTCTTTGCTTCCCAGATTAGCATGGTATTAGAGAAGGGCAAATCTGGTCAAGAAACAAAGAATCCCTTACACCAGCATTTTGAACAAAAATAACTTTTTAAAGGGAAAGGATAAAACAACTTAAAAAAAAAAGAAAACTAAAAATGGGAAATTCATAGGTTTAAACATATATCTACTAATGAAAAAATAGTCTCAGGCATCATTCTGTTTTCCTGCATAATGACTTGTGTCAAGACATTAACAATAGGGCATTGTAGATTAGCTCTTTATTTTAGGAGGTGAAATGGAGAAAAATATAGTCTCATACTTAGAATTTGTAATGGTTGCATTATTCAGTCTATTTTGCTTTGATAGACTGAAAAATCCAATGACTAGGAATTGAATGCCAAATGTAATATATCTGGATTTATTTAGTATCCTTAACATTTTTGTGGGAATGAAAAAGAAAGGTGGAAAGGGAACTATCTTGTGTACAAAGGACTATTATTTTGCAAGCGAGTGTCAAGTTAACAATAGAAGCTGTCTTGTAAAACAGTCATTTATTCGGGGCAAGTAACTGTTGCTGTCGTTCAGGATATAAAGTATTCTCATCTTATTCCTTTTACTACGTGTGTAGCTCCTGTGGAATGGAAGGTGGCTTGTTCAGGGCTGTTAAATTTTGTAATTGGAAGCCTGTATTAAACTCTTCCTAATGATGCTTACAGCTCTATGATGATTTACTAAAAAGTAGAGAGGAATGAAAAATACCTCACCTTTTACGATGACTTGTCTGTGGCTCCCGAATTCTGTAGATTAATGCTTTTGCAAATGCAAAGGAAGACCTATCACTGATGTCATACACAATAACAAACCCGTCTGCCCAATGCAGCTCACTTGTGAGGGAAAATTTCGCTTTCTGTGGCTGAAAATAAATCAAGCACATTGAAAGTGGTAGGATTGGATCCCTGTATTTTACATCACAGACAGTTAATTAATGAAGACCCATTTTACCTGGAAGAGAATTCAGTAAGGCAAATACTGGTATTTTCTAAAATGTAGTTTCTTTGTATCATTCTTTTTCTTTTATCAAGAGTGATCAAAATTTTTAAAAAAAGAACTGTAATAAAGTTATATCTATTTCATTTGATAACTTTTTTCTCTAAAAGAAAACTTCTCTTTTTCTGAAAATTTGATGAGCCCTAATAATTGCCTTTTACATCAATATCCACACACATTTTGAAAGGAGACAGTATCTTCTATATTAGTGAACAGAATATGTATTGATTTTTTTGGTACCAGATTTAAATCAGTAAAGCAACAATAGTAATTAAGGTTTAGCATAAAAGATTTGAAGGGTGTTTGCCATACCCAACAAAATATATCCCATAGAGGTGTTCTGAAATCTTGAGCAGCTGGCCACTCTTCTCTTACTTATATAATTATATTTAAACTTTTTGTGTTTGAATAAAAGGGTTTATACTCAAAATCCTTCTTACTTTGGTTTTACCGACAGTGGTTTAGTTATCAACAAATGCAACTTAGCAAACATATAAACTGAATTAATAAGCCATTAAACTATTAGCATTTGACAGCTACATTGTGACCTGATAAAAATATACTATGAAAGCATAATAATATTGCTATTTTAAAGAAATCAGTAACATGATAATGGTGTCATGACTTTATAGAGAAGCTAGATAATATAACACTAAAATAATTTCTTAAATTTTTAATATTTAGAATTGAGAAATAACTTCAATATTGAGGCTAGCAACTGCACACTTAGCCTTATCCTATCTTCTTCAAATCATGATTGAAAACATAAAAGTATTGTTTTACTTACCTGAGAACAAGGGTCATATATTTCCAGATTCAACTGCTTCCCTTCCAAAAACAAATGCTTGTTATAGATAGATTCTGCAAAATATTCATATACTCAATATCAGTATGGAAATACTCCAGAATTTTAAAACATGGCAGCCAAATATAAATCCAGCCCTATAAATTCAACCAGTCATATTTTAGTTTTAGTGGCTTTTCTTTATTGATAGTGGTCAAAAAAACTATGTATTTGCTATATTTGCTTATGTATATATTTCTTAAAAATGAACTTCACCACTATACCTATTCACTGACAAGGTTTTGTGCCTATATATTAGTCTGTTCATTACTATAGCCTCTAGAAGAGTATCTGCCACATGACAGGTGTTCAATAAATATTTCTTGAATGAATGAAAGACTTCATTTCTGTAACTGTCCCTCCAGTGTTTTCATACAAGACCTACTTCTCTCCAGAACTGCATCCTGACACAATTTGCAAACTGATACATGACCCATTCTGGCAAACACTCCATAACCCATGGTAGAAAGATGTAGCTGACATTTGGGAAAGCTGGCTTCAGGGAGTTAGGGATGACATTTATTTTCTATAATTCAATTAATTAATTAATTTTGGGCTGTGCTGGGTCTTCGTTGCTGTGGGAGCTTTTCTCTAGTTGCAGTGCATGGGCTTTTCGTTGCAGTGGTTTCTCTTGTCGGGAAGCACAGGCTTTAGGGTGCTCAGACTTCAGTAATTGCAGCGTGTGGTCTCAGTAGTTGCGGCTCTCAGGCTCTAGAGCACAGGCTCAACAGTTGGGACACATGGACTTGGTTGTTCTGCAGCATATGCGATCTTCCTGGACCGGGGACTGAACCTATGTCTCCTGCATCAGCAGGCGGATGCTTTACCACTGAGCCACCAGGGGAGCCCAGGGGTAAATTCTGAGATCCTTCTAGGCTACACGGAATGAAATTTGTTACTGTTTCATTAAATCTTAAAATATGTTTTCAGACAGTTTATTCTAAACTGTATAAGCTTACTACCGTGAACTATCAGTGGTAAAGAATCTGCCTGCAATGCAGGAGATGTGGACGCAGGTTTGATCCCTGGGTGGGGAAGATCCCCTGGAGGAGGAAACAGCAACACACTCCAGTATTCTTTCCTGGAGAATCCCATGGACAGAGGAACCTGGTGGGCTACAATCCATGGATTGCTAAGGAGTCAGACATGACTGGGAGATTAAACAAGAGCAACAACCATGAGCTATGTAATTTCCTCCTGAGACATTTTAAAATACCTACTCTCAATACTCAAAAACTGCCAGCAGGGGTCACCAGCTCTTAACATTTTAGAATTTAATTATTTCCCCCTGTAGCCTTCACTTACACATAGGGTCATTTTTTGGCTAATTAATCTTCTTGCTGTGGACCTTTAACTCACATGATTGTCTTTATAAATGACTCCAGGTTTTATTTTTCAACAGAGGTGTAATAGCCAGAAATATGCATACTTCATTTGCTTATATAACTATGTTGTATTAAAGATTAAGGTGACATTTAATTTTGTTGTTGCTGTTAACTGTTCTTTGTAAGTGTGTATTGTTTTATAGTTTTGGAACGCTTTCTCATGCCTTACTCTTAGTTTGTGTGTTATTTGGCCCTTTATGACTGAAGTTGTTGACCTGAGAAATGCAACAATAAGAATTTCTCTTTCTATATATTTTTTCTTTCTATAATGAGTTTTCAAGAGCTTGACATATGTTCAGTGTCATATGAACCAAAATACTATGTTGGCTACATGCAGGTGAAAGCACAATGCAATACTTCAAGGTTGTTTTCTAAAATACTCTATTAATGCTACCTCCTAAATGAATGCTAAAGATTTTTGTTGTTGTTTATTTCTCATGAAAAACACTTGCAATCTTAACTTCTTACTTCTAAGTATTACTGAATGAAAAAATAATAATTTTCCTTTCTCCCAATTCTATTTCTTAAAATCTTCATTCATGTTAAAAAAACAAAAATCCTTTCCCCACCATGCTTTTAATCAGGTAAGATATTAGTAGCATTATATAGATTAATTGTTGAGCCAAAAATATATTCAAACTTCTGGCAAAATTCCCCACTTTTTATTAATTCTCCTCTGTGGCATTTCCCATATGTCATGCTAATTTTAATAAAAATAACAAAATTATAGTAGAGTTAGTGAAATGATCCTAAGATTATATCAAGGTGCCCTGGCACCTGTTTTAGAATTTCTCTGAAACTTACATAAGCAACCTACATAATTATGATATGATCTTTAATCAAAGCATAATTTTCCTGTTATTTTCACATGGTCTTGTGAAAATAAGCATTTATTAAATAAATGCCTTAAATAAAAATAAGGATTTATTTTGTTGTTACTTGTGCTTTTCTAATTAATTTGTCTTTATCTCTCAGCAGATGTTGCTTTAATTTTAAAATTGCTTCACAGTTTAACAAAACCCCCACACTCACATGCTCTGCAATGGTTGGTGCAGATGGGTGGGTCCCAAGTTCAAGGTTTTTCTAGTTCTAGACTGAAACCAGCTGGATTTCTAATGTACCTCAGTTAACATAAAACTGGATAAATTTTATCATGAAAAAATATTTAATTAAAATACTTATGTGGGCTTTTAAAATCAGAGTCTATGAATTAAACAAGTTGCTTAAAAGTGCAAAAATGGAAGATTCTATGAAAATGCTTCTATGATGTTAATTTGAAGAAGAAAATGGAACCCACTCCAGTATTCTTGCCTTGAAAATCCCATAGACAGAGAAGCCTAGTGACCTACATACAGTCCATGGGGTCACAAACAGTCAGATACTTCTTAGCAAATGAGCACACGTGCACTGATGTTAATTGATGATGCTGAAGTTTTAAAGTGAAAAAGTCTAAAGTAGTAACTTACCAAAATTAGAAGCATATTCTCCAATGAAGCGCTTGGTAAGAAATCTTACTATAAGGGCTGCAAAACAAAACAAGTTGAATTTAAGGTCTTACCAGTTTTAAGACACAGATAACAACTTAGCTTTCCTGGTGACTCAAGCAGTAATGAATCCGCCTGCAATGCGGGAGACCTGGGTTCAATCCCTGGGTTGGGAAGATCCCCTGGAGGAGGAAATGGCAACCCACTCCAGTATTCTGGCCTGGAGAATCCCATGGACAGAGGAGCCTGGCCAGCTACAGTCCATGGCGTCGCAAAGAGTCAGACAGGACTGAGCGACTAGGCACAGCACACATGCGCGTAAGGTTTTCTCTCTTGGCTTAAAAATTACTAAGTATTAATGAAGACCTTGACGTTTTACTAAATTCTGGTCCAAATAATAATCAGTAAGATTAGCATCATAAAACCGTAAAAATTAGGAGGCTAGAAAGAAATTGATCTTACTGTGCTGCCCACTCAATTCACTGTGTAATTCACTAAGGCAAACACACATAAGAAAACTCAGCTTTGCAACAGATTTCTTACTAAATCTGAGATGCAAGAGCTATGGTATCTTTTTATTTCATCAAATTAATTGTGGCTCCAAGGTGCCACCTGTTTATAATAGTGGTCAGGACAGTATCACACCTTTGCGATTGTTTAGGAAACAGGGACTTCAAAATCCAAGAAACAGAGGATCGCCCTCTAGTGTTGGTTTATCTTAGTGCAGCTCCTGGGTCTGGCCAGTCATGATTCACTAGGCTGGGTGGCTCTATTGGCAGCATCCTCACTACCATCAGGTAACAAACACAAACGCGTAGCTTGCAAGGTCATGGACCGTGTCGCTCAGTTCCCAGGCATTTAAAAAGCTCTGTCCCCTTCTCCCTTCAAAGTGTTTTGTCTTTCTTTTTCCTCCTCTGTAACGTGGCGTATGTATACCTATGGCTGATTCATCTTGATCTTTGGCAGAAAACGATATTCTGTAAAGCAATTAACCTTCAATTAAAAATAAATAAATTTTTGAAAGTTAAAAATAATCCACAGGTCTTCACACGTTTCTCTCCACACTTGGTCTCAGGGCAGAGGAATCTTTTCAAGACCACTGCTTGGCCACTAAGGCTTCTCGGGTGGTGCTAGCGGTAAAGAATGTGTCTGCCCATGCAGGTAGACACAAAAGATGTGGGTTCAGCCCCTGAGTCAGGAGTTTCCCCTGGAGGAGGCATGGCAACCTACTGCAGTGTTCTTGCCTGTAGAATCCCATGGACAGAGGAGCCAGGTGGGCTGCAGTCCCTAGGGTCGCAGAGAGTCTGACAAGACTGAAGTGACTTAGCACATACGCATGCGGGTGTGGGGGCAGGCGTGACCGAGTGAGAAGTGCGTGGGGTCGTGATGGAGGGATTTCCTGTTGGTCCTACTTATTTTCAACATCAGTAGAACAATATACAAATTAATACTTCAAACAGTTATATTCTTCAACCTAGATATACATTTTATAATTACAGAGTTAATTGCATTACTTGCTTATAATGAAAACTCCTACTGAGAAATAATATACAGTTATAGCAAGTCTATAAATGTATGTTTTATATATATATATATATATATATATATAATGTCAATGTATTTCCCACTCTTTATGTACTCTACACCAGAAAGAAAAACAAAAAAACATTACCCGATTTCCCTGTTCCTTCACCTCCCAAAACAGTAAGCTTCACGTCATTCATCTTGCTTTCCTCCTCTTTCTTGGTCTGTCCTGTCTTCTGGAGTTATCCTGAGTTGAGCCAAGAATGTGTTTTCCAACATCCTTTTTATTATTGCTACTCTAATTCCCCTAAGGCCAGCTCCACCCCATACTCCTACCATCCAATAATAACTTTAAAAATATTTTCAATTAGTTTTGAACATGTCTCTTGAAAAAAAATAAGTGGACTTACTATTTAGATACAAAAAGATTTATTTAGCCAGTAGTTAAGAGCTTAACAGAAGCTTAGCTCCTTCTATTCAACTTTCATGTACCTAAAATATCTCCCTCCTCCTAGAACCTAAAAAACTGATCTTTCTTCATTAAGAAAGTTTTTAGAGGAGGGGTAAACATTCCTGTAAATCTCCTGTAACTGGATTAGTTTTGCTTTTTTCTATTCATAGCAGAGGCTACATTTTCTTGGATTTCTCCTGTGAAAGACAAAATGAGATGTGCCTGTGTGCTAAGTTGCTTCACATGTGTCCGACTCTTTTCGACCCTATTGGCTGTAGCCCGCCAGGCTCCTCTGTCCATGGGAATTTCCAGGCAAGAACACTGGAGTGGGTTGCCATGCCCTCCTCCACCGGCTCTTCCTGACCCAGGGGTCAAGCTCACATATCTTATACCTCTTGCATTGGCAAGTGGGTTCTTTACTACTAGTGCCACCTGCAAAGCCCTTATATAATAGTTTATAATTAGGAAAAACAAAGTTTAAAAAAAGAACATTTGGAAGGGCTGTTCTGACATAATTCGCTCCTGCTAAGAAATACAAGGGTAAATCTGATATGCACAATTACCACTCTGTTACCCTTTTTTTTTGTCAATGGTCCCTGCTACTCTAAGAACTCAAATTGTTAATTAATATTTTCTTTCCTTTCTTTCTCCTCATTTGTATATGTATAAATTTGAGAGTTGAGAAAAGAGTACAACAACAAAGAGAGAATGATTCAAATTTTGTGGACTATATTTTAAGACCCAGGTAAAGAAGTTTCATTTCTAGGCTGGGTCTATTGCAAAAATACATGCTTCTTAAAAATGCATTTATTTAATAAACATTGATTAATTGCCACTCTTTGTCAAATAGGTCAACAATTAAATTATTTAATAACAAATTTTCTGCCCTGTTGGAGTCTACAAAGAGAAAAATGGAAACAGAACTATAATAAATATTATCATTGCTAAAATGGAGCTTTGATGAAGAGCTGGAGAATGTAAATCAGTAGATAGAAAAGTCTTCAAAAAGTAGGTAAAGTTTGAAACATGAACAGGACCTATGGAGAGGAAAGAAAAAGTGATTGGAGATCAGGGAGATGCGTCTATTCCAAAAAAAGAAAAGGCAAGGTAGAATATGACAATTTGTGGGATCAACAAGGTAACAGATGAATAACTTAGATTTTTTCCTTTTATTACAAATTATAAAATGTTTTTAAAATAAGCCCTGTTCTCTCTTTAATCCATGCCACTGTATTAAACATAACAAGAATGATTTTTTAAATGATGTTTACCAGCTGATTTATTATACTTTAGAACTAAATGATTTTCCTCTTTTGTGAGAAATCCTAGTCTTCCTAAGTAATTTCTGATTGATGTCTTTAGAAAGTTTAATATATCTACTGATAGGAAGGAACAACTTAAATTCATAACAAGCATGACACTGAAAATAACATATGGAGGGTTGTTACCAGCATTTTTTCATTGTAGCCTGTTCTTCCCTATGTCCACCGGATCCCAAAGTATATTTAGTTAAGAAAGCAGTATGGGATTGAAATAGAGTGAAGTTATAAACCTGAACAAAGAGAATATCAGTCAGTCAGTCAGTCAGTTCAGTCGTTCAGTCGTGTCCGACTCTGCAACACCATGAACTGCCACACTCCAGGCCTCCCTGTCCATCACCAACTCCCGGCATCCACACAAACCCATGTCCATCGAGTCAGTGATGCCATTCAACCATCTCATCCTCTGTCATCCCCTTCTCCTCCTGCCCTCAATCTTTCTCAGCATCAGGGTCTTTTCAAATGAGTCAGCTCTTTGCATCAGGTGGCCAAAGTATTGGAGTTTCAGCTTCAACATCAGTCCTTCCAATGAACACCCAGGACTGATCTCCTTTAGGATGGACTGGTTGGATCTCCTTGCAGTCCAAGGGACTCTCAAAGAGAATATAATCACGCACAAACTTTTCTAAGAAACAGAATGTATATACATATATATGTGTGCATGTATATATATATATGTGTGTGTGTATATATATATATATAATTTCAGCATCACATAAAGTTTTCTAAAAATAAAATATTCTGAAAGACAGATTATTATACTACCTAGAATGTTCTCAAAACTCCTTAAAGAAACATCCATTCCCAATCAAACAAAAAGCATTTATTACTTTATTCATTTATTTAATGAACATAAATTTATTAAAGGTCTACTATGTGCTTGGCACTATTCTCAGTGCTAAAAATCTATCAGTGAACAAAGTACTGACAGATTCTGGTCATAAAAGATGGACATTAAACACTCAAATAAGCAATTAATTACATATCCAGTATTCATGAATGTTGGTGTATTTTTGTTTAGTTTTGTTTCTCTAAAGTCAGGTTAACCAGCCCTTCTCAGCTAATCTCATTTCTCTGTATTTTCTGTTAAGAGTAGATGCATAATTTCCATCAAAAGCTCCAAATTCACAGGAATGGAATAACAACAAATATCCAAGGAGAGACAGTATCTTTGTTCTACATTATCCTGTTCCAGATCTTGAAAAGATGAAATAGTTCCCAACTCATTTCTGTGTCTTGTTGCTGTGTGTACTCAGTTGTGTCCGACTCTTTGTGACCCCTTGGACTGTAGCCCGCCAGGTTCCTCTGTCTATGAGATTTTTCAGGCAAGAATACAGGAGTGGGTTGCCATTTTCTCCTCCAGGGGAATCTCTCCAACCCAGGGACTGAACCTGCATCTCTCACATCTCTTGCATTGCAGGAATATTCTTTACTTGCTGAACCACCAGGGAAGTCCATTTCTGTGTCTATCATAACCTAAACCAGACAAAATGGTATACACAGACACACAAAGAGAAAAGAAATAACCAGTGTCACTTAGGAATACAGATCGCAGGTCCTAAGTGTAAGAGCAAATCAAATCCAGAAGTCTACTTAAAGAGCCAAGCATCATGAGCTAATAGAATATACTCTAAAAATGTCAAATTGGGTGAACACTAGGACATTTGGTAGATTATTTTAATACATTACAAAGATAAAAGAGAAAAACTACATGTGTAACATGCTTTGTAAAGCATTTCATGAAATTTAACAGTTACTTTAAAAAAAATGACTTTTATAATCTAAAAATAGGAGATTTCTTAACGTGATAAAGGTGATAATTTTAAAAAATCCAAATATAAAAAAATGCCTATATAATTATTGCTCCTAATTTTCTTCTAAAAAGAAGATACTGTCTGTTACTCTATAGTATAGAACCAGTAGTCCTATCAAACACAATGAGGAAATAGCACATATGAGAAAGAGGAGACAAAATGATTTTTGTCTACAAATGATAGCTTTCTATAGTTTTATTATTGACATTATTAGCATGCATTAAAGCCATTCAGTAGGGTGGTCAGATAAAAGATAATCATAATGAAAGCAATAATTTCAAACAATAAAAATAGCAGCTAACATGTGTTTAACACTGTAAAATAACAAGCTATTTTAAAAATTGTTTTCCAGGTATACAACATTCAATTCTTTGGAAAACTTCATGAGGTGAGTATTATTAATAACCTCTAACACGATAGAAATACAGTCCTTTTCACAAAGGAAAAATGGGGGGGAAGGATGCAAAGAAGACTAAAACTAAAAGGGAATGTATCATATTTATACTATGAATTCTCATTCTTTACTGAAGATTATAAAGCAAGTTTTGAATATGTAAACAAATATGAATAGACTCAATGGTGTAACTACTATCAAATTAATCTGAAAGTAAAATATAATGACTGTTAGAATCCCAACAAAAATGGTTTAATTGAATGTGGACAACCTGTTTTGGAAAAGGAAACATACATGAATAATTGCAAAATTTTTAGGCAAAATAGTAAAAACATCTCTTATGAGCTAAATCATACCAAAAAATAATTAAATGCTATTTTATTAGGACTAGAATGATATGTTCATTAATAGAAGAAACTTTTCAGTGTAGAAATTGAGTACATATTTTATTATGGATATAAACTTTTTAATATGTTATCATTAAACTGTACAGATATCAAAAATTTTAGAAAAAGTCATTGACTAATAAATTATGTTTGTACCTCATATGCAGAAAAATAAATTATGAATATTAAAAATATTAGCAGGAAAATTAAACTAGAAAAGGGTCAAGTGGACATGTATATGGAATCTTACAAATAATCTTGAAGAAGGGAAGGTCTTCCTAGGCAAAAAAAACAGAAAACAAAACAAATCCAAATCCAAAGAGAAAAAACCCAATCTAATGATTTTTCATAACTGAACTTTTAAGTGTCAGTTCTGTTAGTCCCATGGGATTATTTACCAAGGTGAGTGCATTTGTAGATTTATTCACAGCACAAGTATCTGCATACAAATGGATTATTTTAAATCAGAATCAAGGTACTCATCTTACCTCTAATTATAATACAAGTTACTTAAGGAATGAAAGTCTTAGAAGAAACAAATATTTTTCAGATGAAATTACTTCTGAATACTTGTACATGCTCATATGGAAATTCACCATGGAAGAGTAGTGGGTTCTTTTTTAAGAAAATGATATTCTAATCTCACAAAGTCCATGTTTTCAAACAGCTAACAGATCTCAACTGCATTGAGGTATATGGAAATTTGCACATTATACTGGGGTTAAGTAAGGACTCTAAAGGGAAAATTTTACAGAACAACATTTGATTGCTAAGCTCTATCTTTTCTCTCTTTTCAAAGCACTTTATGCAATTCATCCTGGCAAAATTAACACAGA